AACCAACCAGTGTTTTTGATCATTTATGGAAGAAGGGTGACTGAAGCATGAAAAAGAATCAAAATCAGGTCCAGGTCTTTTTCTTTCTTTCTCTTTCTCTCTTTCTCTCTCTCTCTCTCTTTCTTTCTTTCTTTTTAATCCTCACCCGAGGACATTTTTCCATTTTTTGTTCAGTTAGAGTGGGAGGGAGAGAGAGAAAGAGAGAGAAACATCGATGTGAAAGGGCCAGGGACAAACTGCAACCGAGGTACATGCCCTTAGCTGGAACCGAACCCGGGTCTCTCTGGACCGCAGGTCGACGCTCTAACCGCTGAGCCAAACTGGCCAGGGCTGGTCCAGGTCTTTAAAAAATACACCTTTATTTTGATTTCTTCACTTCAAAAAAAAAAAAAAAAATGCCCCTAATAATCAAAACTAGTTGATTTGCAAAAACAAACAAAAAGGTGTTTGTTAACAAATAAAACAGATTTGTGAAAATTTAGATCAGACTGAGAAAATTTATTTTTGATAGTTATTACAGAATTCGCAGGCCTCTTTTCATGAAGCAGAGTATGTAACCAAAAAGAATTTGTCAGTCACCCACAGAGGGTTTTACTCGGGACTGATGTTAAATGATTTCATCATTGAGATGAATGACAGACAAGGACATATGTCTACTCACTTTATGGATAACACAGAGAGGACAAAGGAGGAGGGGTAGAATTTTTAAAAATTATTAGTATGGGCTGCATAAATTTAAGTCCTTAATCTAAATAAAATATATCTAGTGATATTATAACCCAAAGTATAAAATAAAATATACAAGTATGTATTTATATATGCATATATATTTATATATGTATATATATTCTTATATGTATATATGTAAATGGTTGAATAAATAAATGGAGAGAAGAAATAAAACCTCCTTGGAGAAGAATTTCAACTAATATATCTAGACACTCCTCCTTCCAGGAGGTAGAGTTTCATCTCCCTTAACTTGAGTGTGGGCTATATTTAGCAACTTGCTTCCAAAGAACAGAGTATAGGAAGGGAAAAATAGCAACTCTACAGTGGAGAATTCTGGCAAGAACAACCTTAACTTGATATTAAGGCTAACATGACTAGGAGTAAGTCACACTGCTATCATGTACCCACTCCTAACATGCTGTGATAAGGGAGCTTCACCTCTGCGGTGGTGCTTTCCAAAACCTAAAATCCCATGTAGGGAAGAAAATTTAGCTGAAGAAAAATATCAGACTAACCCAAAGTGAGACACGTTATACAGAGTACCTGTTCAGCATTCCGCAAAACTATCATGATCATCAAAAACAAGGCAAAACTGAATAGCTGTCACACACGAGAGGAGACATGGGAAGCATGATAGCCACATGCAATGAGAGATTCTGGATGGATCCTGGACCAGAAAAAGGCCATTAATGGAAAAAGTGATGAGATTCAACTAGAGTTGGGATTGGTTAACAGTACTGTACCAATTACTGGACAATATTAGTCTTAGTGCTGACAAATGTACCACAGTAGTGCAATGCTATAACATTTGCGGTAACTAAACCTGAGTGGCAGGTATGGGGAGAACTTACTACCTCTTTGCACCTTTTCTGTCAATCTGAAATTATCTAATAAAATTTTTATTTAAAAAAGTAAAAACAGTGTAGTGGACTTGTTGCCCTCAGAAATGACCTCATGAGCCTGGCCAGTGTGGCTCAGTGGGTGAGCCACAACCCACGCACCAAGAGGTCACCGGTTTGATTCCTGGTCAGGGCCCATGTCTAGGTTGTCGGCCAAATTCCCAGTGGGGGGCATGCAGGGGGCAGCCAATCAATGTTCTCGCTCATCAATGTTTTCTATCTCTCTCTCCTTCTCCCTTCCTCTCTTTCTAAAATCAATAAAGAAAAAATATTTTAAAAAAAGAAATGACCTCATGAGATTTAACCCTTCCATTAGCCACCAAAAAAGCAGCTCCTGTTGCTTTTGAAAGAGTGTTAGCTAAAAGAATCCATGAAGTGAAAGATATAATTCTAAGTAATTATAGCAAAAAGAAAAAGAAAAAAAAGAGTTGTAAGTTTCTATAGAGCATGTATATAGACATACTGTTGTTTTATTTTGTTATTATGAGATAAAATAAATTAGAAAAATAACTCAGGAAATTGAGTCCATTCCCCCGTTACATGCAGCTTTGATAAGACCATAATTAATTTCTCCCTGTACAGATCATCATAAAAAGTATTTCAAGAGATTTTGGGATTTCCAAAATTATCAGAGAATTTGAATTTCAAGAGTACTTAAAGAAGATGAAGGGTAAGTTAATCCCTTCATATGTTTCATGTAACTATTTATTGGAATACACCTGCCCATGACTACAAAAATCACTATCATTTGAGAGCCTATCACATGCCAAGCACCCCTCTAGGCGTGTTACGAAGTCGTCTTTAATCTATTGAGCAGTGGAGAACAGCTGTTGCCTTCTAGCTTTAAAGAAGAGCGAACTGTGGCTCCTGAAGAAGTTACCCAAGGAGAAACCTAGTGAAGGGTCAAACTGGGATTCTGACTCAACATGTGGAAACACACACAAATCGTAATAGATGAGATTTAGGGAGAAAGGAGATAAACTCAACTGGCAGTAGGAGAGACTAAGCCCTGGGGCACTATGGAAACAATGTTGTTCATTAAATAATGGAAGGAACAGCACTCTGAAATCAGAAGACCTAGGTCCCTTCCCTCCTCACCACTTTTGCTCCTTCCTTTGTGTATTTCAGGCATACAATGAGGTTAAGTAGAGGAGAATTTAGGCATGGGTGACACAAGTTCAAATCCCAGCTCTTGCCCTTTCTTACTGTGTGACTAGGCTGGTCATCTATTGTGAGCTTCTCTTTATCATACATAAAACAGCATTTGCCTTATCTATGTTAAATAGCTGTTGTAAAGATATGGCCAAAAAAGGGAAGGGGATGAAGAAGTACAAACTTCCAGTTATAAAATAAGTCACAGGGATGGAATGTACAGCATAAGAATAGAGTAATATGATTAATAACTATGTCCAGTGACAGTTACTAGACTTATTGTGGTGATCACTTTGTAAGGTATATGTTTTAACACAATAATTGTACACCTGAAACTAATGTATTATAAGCCAACTATAATTAAAAATAAAAAAATAAAGAAAAGATTTGTTGTACAGGTCAAATAAAACATATCAAAACCCTTTTAAACAATAAAGTTCTATTTAAATGTTTTATGTGTTAGCTACAAAATTCCTTAATATCCTCTCAATTCTAGAGACATTTAGTAAATGGTAGATAAACAATCACAAAATATGTAATTCAAGTCAACTACTATTGATGGATATGAGACCAGAGCATAAAAATCATTCCTGTGTTAGTTATATTTAAAATGTCTTCTTAGACTAAAAAACAAAAATGAGAAGTTGAAGGTTAGTGGTTTGGTGAAGACAAATCATTTACCTACATACACTATTTAGTTTTAGCAAGATTAATTTGGTAATCCCTGTAATTATTCCAAAATTAGCTTATGTCCATGACATCACAAATCAACTATAATCCGAAAGACCAAGGCATGGGCCCTGAATGAAGCAGAAGTTATCAGCCATCAACAGAGGAGACCTACTTAGGATGCTGTATTTCATGTCCTTACAAGGCAAAAGAAATAAGCTCATGTTGTCCATGTAGTTTTATCTGATTAATAAATAAATACTATTCATATTTTCCAAGAATGTTGTTTATCAAGTTTCTAAAGCAAAAATATTTAACCTGAATACAGTTACAAAATACATCAGGATGAAAAACCTTACAATTAGCTTATTCTTAAATACATTAGCATCCTCTCATGAATTAGGAGAAAGTGGAATTCCTAAATTCTCAAACCGTGACGTAATATTGGTTTTATTGATTCTCTGTACAATTTGTGGGAGTAGCCAATCATTATTTTGACAGTTTATCATAAGGTAATAGACTTCCTTTTAGATAACTGCAGTTACCACATTCAATTTCAACCTTACATAGGACTTTTTCCTAGATACAGCTTTACTGTTGGTCCTATATCACATTACTTTCTTTTTATAGCTATACACACAAAGCATTTTAGGCATTACACCTAATTATGTCAGCACAATAACAATTTAAAAGCTCATCATTAAGAAGTAAAGGTTAAGTACTTATATGCTAAGACTCCTTTTCATAAAGATATACAATGCTATATAAGCAAATGAATTACACAAGCACCTGAAAGTCAGAGAGTTACAAAAAACATTAGACCTCTTTTTGGATAAACTAGAAAATTTGATGAGTTTGTGTCCAGGCAATAACATTTGTGAACTACAGTGTTGACTTACAAGCTTTCTGACTCATGAAAACTATTCAACCATGTAAGTTTCACAACACAAAGTTGTGTGGCAAAAAAAATCTTTTTCCTAGGGAAGCAGTTTAGCATAGGTTGTTGAGGGCATGGGGTCTGGGATTACATCATGGCTACTTACTGCTGGGCCTGGGGCAAGTCACTTTAGATCTTTGTGCCTTGGTTTCCTCATCTGTAAATGGGGACATTGATACTATTGGTCTTAGAAAGTTGTTCTGGGGAGTAAATGTCCAAGTCTGTGAAGCTCTTAAAAAGTGCCTGGCATATACTATACCTATATAAATATCAGATATTATTTTCACTTCCTTGAATTGCCTTCAGCAGCTAATAAATAAACACACAAGGAAGAATCAGAACTGAAAGGTGACCTAAGCCAGTGGATAAGGAGAAAGACAACAGACCCAGGAAATGAGCCACATGTAGGATGTAGGATTTTGGGACATTCCTACTCCAGAGGAAAGAGAAAATTGGAAGTTCAGAAGTTCTTTGTCAAACGAATGAATTTGACTGAAAGGAATTCTGAAGACTGAGGCCAAATGCAGTATCCAAGGCTTCAAAGTAAACAGGGAAAAACAGCCCAGGAATCAATACAGAGCTACACAGAGGCCCATAAAATAGAAGCTGACAACCTTGCAGTCTTCTTGTAGGTGAGTGTTGGGGGAGGTGTTGCAGAGGATGGGTCAGGTGACGACCAGGAGACTGGAAGATAGCAGCTGTAGAAGAGGCCAGGCTTAGTGGCAACTGAGCTAGAAATGCTCCTGAAATGACAAGCCGTGATAATTCTCCATGTGGTCTATTTCATCATGTGGGGAGAAAAAAAAAACAAAACACTTGATTTTCCATTCCATAATTTCCACATTCCACCTCATAATTATATAATTATCAGGGAAAATAACTTGGTGTCTTGATAGGCTCCAAGGGGGAAAAATTCTGCCCCCACCTTACCTCTTCAATTTATCTGATTTTTTAAAAAAATGTAAAATAAGAAGTAGTTTTGTAATCAAAAGGAGATTATGCAAAAGGAGAAATTTGGCATCTGAATTAACTACTTCTCTCAAGATAAATAGAAAGTGTTTCTAGTAAGTGACTGTGTTTCTAAAGGAGAAAAACAAATCAATATGGTTTTGCAATATTCTGGAATGACCAAAAAATGTCAATAATCAATATTTCATATCAAACTAAAAAAATTAAAACATTGACCAAAAAAAGTTTTTCTTATGTATCAAACTATGTTAATAAAAGTAATTTTTTTAAGTTCGAAGAAAATTCCGCTTTATTGTATATTTTTAAAACCATTTTCCCCAAACAGAAAAATATTACATGAAATTAGGACCATACTAGAAAATCTAGCATATATAAGTACCATACATATATGAACCAATTTTTACTTATAGATCCTACCTAAGGCAAAATTTCCAGTGGGGGTGGTGGGAATTATTTCTGTCAAAATCAAGCAACAACTTGTCATCAGTTCTTGGCTCCTCTTATCTCTCAGGCTGCGAATCAATCCTGTAACCCCTGTGGTCCTTCCCAACTGCCTTCCCATCATATTTCCTCCCGCCCCTAACAACTTGTTCATTGATCAATTGGCTTTTTGTATCTTAACATTTTCCTCACAAGTTGTTGTGAAAAACATTAGGGAAGGAACATTAATCAGTAAAAGTTTTCTATAGTTAACAAGATTTACAAGTTCAGTTGGATATCGACATTAATAGCCAAGGCAGATTATTTTTTAATTTCAAGTAGCCATCCTCTGCCTATACCCACAGATCATGGATAATAGAGTTCACTAAATGCCACTGACTACACTGTATATAAAGCAGAGCTGGAATCTAATTTCCAATTCTGAGCTTCTTGAATGACAAAGCTTTCAGTATAATCATTATCATTAATATTTATCATGCAATGAATGTGCTCCTATACTCCTTTTACAAAATAGCGAAAATAAGTCATTTTCTCATTCCATCAGTTGTACAAAGCAAGTCTATAAATAGATAAAAAGAAAATGCCTACCCATGGATACAATTTTTATCAACAAAAGCTGAGGGTCCACAATAAGCTCAAATTCCTAGCCCTGGAATCCTACTTGAATCATCTAAACCACCAAGCTTCACAGGAGAGGCTACAACAGTGCTTTCAAGAAACAGAAAACATCATATGGTCTTGAAACTTGAAGAGTCTTTTATTAGGAATAAAAAATGCTATAAATTTAGCCCGGCCAGTGTGGCTCAGTGGTTGAACATCGACCCATGTGGCAAGAGGTCGCCAGTTCGATTCCCGGTCAGGGCACATGCCCAGGTTCTGGGCCCAATTCCCAGTGTGGGGCATGCAGGAGGCAGCCAATCGATGTTCTCGCTCATCAGTGTTTCTATCTCTCTCCTCCCTCTAAAATCAATAAAGAAAAAATGTTATAAATTTATATAAAAGGCTGAAAGGTACCCATGTGTAATATGTAAGGATAGAATATTTGCCATTAAGTAAACATGTAATCGATAAACAGGAGGTTTGAAAAGACTAGCAAACATTCCCCCTCATACTTAGCTAGAGAAGCTCCATTTATTTGCTTCCTTTCAATGAGACACTTATTCCCGGAAATACGCATTAATTCCTTACATTCGCTTTACCACTATTTAGGGGGCAGAAAAAATGCAGGGTGCTGCGCAAATGTAAATTCAAGCATTAATAAATTTAAGGGTGAAATAATTACTTGAATGATTAAGAATCAAATGAGGGTTCACATATGGAATGGGAAGTACTTTCTCGAATCTGAGGTGTCTTGGAAAGAACATTCCATTTATAGATGAGTCAAAACGACACCGTGCCCCTGAGGAGCCCCAAGGTTTCCGCTTGACAGAAGCATTCTGTGAGATGTGCTCTGGAACCTCTATGTAGCAGCCCAAACTGAATTCATGTTCTTCCTTCCCTAAATCAAAGCAGCTCTTATTTATATTTTCATGAGATACTTCAGTTTGAAATTTCAGATTCATCTTCCTTTTACTCTCTCATCACTAGTATCCAGTAAATTAGTAGGTCCTAGAGACTTTATTTCCTCTTCTACTGCAAATCCTAATTCAGATGTTTTAAATTTTCTAAGGAGAATGTAATAGCTTATTAATTGTTCTCTCTCACGACATCCCTTACCTAAGTCCACTCTCCATGGTGTTGCAATGGTATCCTCAACCTTGGTTCTTCGCTGTCTTCACAACACAGGGCTCTGTCATGATCCATTATAAAGTGTATTGCAAATTATTTACCACTAATGCTAAGCAAATTTGTAAAAGCTTTTTTGAAAAATAAATGAAAGTTGATTTAGCTATTTCTTGAGTGTTACTCCTCTTCAACTGTTTTCCTATATGCTTTTTTGAGAGGAGGAGAGAGGGTGGAGTTACAGAAAAGTATGAGGAATGATACAGAATCCTGATTACTTTTCCCCGGGGAAATGATACCCTTCACATCAGTGTTGTTGAAAAGCTCTGCTATTTTGAACCATCAATGACTTCCCACTGCCTGCTAATGTAAATATAAACTCCTAGTTCTGGAATTCAGTATCTTCTATCATATGATCTTAATGAAATCTGGACAACTTTAATTTCCGCTATGACTGTGCAAAAACTTTTAGTCAGTGACTCTAGACTGTTCTTAAGCAGACTTGATAGTTTTCCATTTTCCTTCCTTGGTTCATACACTTCTGTCTTAAATTATCTCCCCTGCAGCCATACTCCCCCAGTCCACGAAGCCTCCTCTAATTCTACGAACCAGAAGGCATCTTTCCCCTGACTCCTTCCAACATGTTTTTACCTCTAAAAACACATACAGAAAGGTAATTATGTATGCACTTCTACTACTGAGCTGCAGGGTCTTCGATGACAAGGCTCTGAGTTGTATTCCTTTCCTTCACTGCAGTACCTAATGTAGTGCTCAGGATACAATCAGCATCTCAAATAGCTCTTGACAGCCCTGGCCAGTTTTGCTCAGTGGTTAGAGCGTCAGCCCACAGAGCCAAGAGTCACAGGTTCGATTCCAGTCAAGGGCACGTACTTGGTTGCAGTTCGGTCCCTGGCCCTGGTCAGGGTTGTGCAGGAGGCAACCAATCGATATGTCACTCTCACATCAATGTTTCTCTCCCCCTCTCTCTCTCTATCCTTTACACGCTGTCTGAAAATATATCCTCGGGTGAAGATTTTTTTTTAAAAAAGCTGTTGACAAACGGCAGAAGAATAAAGAAGATGAATTCCAAAGGAATCAATAATCCAATACTGTTAGTAAGGGACTATTCAAAGTCTAATCAGATTCAAACACCTACTGGATGCTTTCCCACTTATACCTAGAGTTTTAAAGATGGTTGTACTGTGCATTGATGGCCTAGCACACTGCCAAAAGCTTGCAATCAGTTTGTTTCAAAACTGAAGATCATTTAAAAAGTATGAACAAAAGTTAGTAATTGCATTGGATAAAACATAATTTCACTTGGGGGGATGAGGAATTACACACGTTAGGTAGAAGAGCACATCTCCGTAAGAAAATAGAGTAAATTGGTGTTCTACAAAACATCCATCTTCACTGGAAATTTCATTCAGCTGTATTATCCATTTTAAAAGAACATGAGGATTAAGAGGGTTATCCCAAAGCCAGGCAGTGTATACTGCTATACGGAAGACAGAAAAGAAAAGCTGTAAAAAATCTTTAGAATATAAACAAAATCAT